TCAGACCCAGCCTGCTTTCCTACACAGGGTGAGAGAGGTGTGCGCAGACTGTGCCCGGCATGTGCGCAGGGGTGCCTGGAGGACTGCGCCCAGTGGGTGGGCGTGGTGGCCCTGCTGTTTCCTCCCTGGTCTGGCAAGCCTCCCAGTTCCTGTTGCTGCTCTGTGCCACCCGGTCATCTCTGACTCATGGCGACCCTACGAATGACAGTCCTCCAAAATGTCCCGCTCATGTAAATGCAAGGCTGTGGCTTCCCATCCATCTCTCGGTCAGGCTTCCTTTGCTTCTCTGCCTCGGACTTTCCCCGGCACGGCGGTCTTCTCCAGGGAGCTTCGCCTTCTCATGATGTGCCCGAAGTAGGACGGCCTCGGCACAAATATGACGATCGCTGCACACAGCACAGCCCTCAAAGAGGGCCTGGGAAGTGCCGCTTGTGCAAAACGTGGCAGCTGCACTGAAATCAAGGACTGAACACGTGAGCTCACTCTGGCCTGCCTGCGCCAGTTGCCTGCCTGCTGCTGAGCCTATCTCAAGATGCTGGTACTACCATATAAAGTCTTACACGGACTGAAATACAGTGGCCGTCTGGGGGCACCTACCTAGGTCTGGAGCCCCACATCTTCCACTTGGAGCCCTGAATTACTGGGGGGGGGGGGCTCTGTCCCACCATGCAGTTGTCCAGGGCCCCAAGCATCCCTTCTGCATCGGATTCCTCTGGACCAGCTGGCTTTTCACCTGCATGTGCTCACCTCCTGCTTCTCCTTCACCTTGAATCTTTCTGCCTGACCTTTTTTTTCTGAAATCAAATGCCTCTTCTCCTCTCTGCACACATCCTTTTTCTTAATAAATGGGGGAGGGGGTCCTCAGCAGACAGAATCCATCGAAGACACGCACATGGGCTTCCGCACAGATCTAACTCAGTACATACCATTTTTATGTGTGCATTTGTCCCGTGGGAGCGAGTGCCAGATCTGTCCAGGTCCTAGCATTGTCCCGTGGCAGAGGACATTTGTCACTATCCTTCGCTTTCACTGCAGTTGTCATCTCGGGCCTCCTCCAGGTGCCTTCCCTGAGGGAGGTGTGGAGGATGCCAACATGGGAGGGGCCTTTTCGGACACGGCCCCTGCATTTTGGGGTGTTCTCCCCGCTGAGGTGCGTATGGTGACAACACTCTCCTTTGCTGAGTACCAGGTTAAGACATTCTTTTCCTCCTAGGCATTCAGCACTTAGACTTTAACCAGTCTGGGGATTTCTACTGCTGGCAGTTTTTAATTGTGTCAATGCACAAATGGTTTTTATCATCTGCTTTATGTTGTATTTCTAAGGTTTAATCTTTTGTAAAACCACCAGAGTGCTTCTGCTATGGGGCTGTGTAGAAATGGGAACAATGACCCCTTTTCCAGAGGGGGAGCTGTGTTCATCCACCGCAGCAAAGACTTTTGTGGCACCTTAAAGACTAACAAATTTATTCCGGCCTCAACTTTTCTGGGCGGCATTCAGGAAAGCTTATGGGAGAATAAATTGGTTACCCTTTATGATACCAGAAGACTCTCTGTTGTGCCTCTTATTCTTGTAGCCATGATGGCGTGCGTTCAAAATGTAATACTGCACATAATCAGAGCATTTCTTTCAGCCGGCTTCTAAACATTTTTGTCGTGGTTTTGCTATATCAGGCATCTCAGAAAAGCTGCAAAACATGGAATGGTGGCAGCAGTCATGGTGGGAAGAAGATAAATGTTAATTGTGCCGTCCGCTACTTGTGTCTGTCTAAAGGGAAGGGCATGAGATGGTTAAGTCTGGGGTCCAAAATTATCCACTGCTTCTTGGCAAATGGAGGAGTTGTGAGGAAGAGAAAACCAGTCTTTTCATGTGTGTCCCCACAAGCTGGGATCCGCCACCCGGACTGCAGTGAGGTCTGGCCCTGGGGTGCCGTGTAGGAAGTTCATGTGTGCTTCTCCACTTGCAAGAAGGGCTCGCCTTCCTTTCCGCCGCGTGCAAAATGTGAGCGGCCAGTTTGATAGCCAGGTGACAACACCATTCTTGCTGGCTTCGCAGAAGTAAGGAGGTCTCAGAGGCAGGGTGCAAAGTCAGGACCTACAGTTATGGCCCCACCTCTACAAACACCTGCTCATTTTCTCCCATATAAGTGAGTGATTACAGCATCTCATCCTACTGACCAAAGCAAATTGCCATATTTTTTGAGGGTGCTGGTGCAGGGAAGGCGAAGCTTCCCAAACCAGGAGAGAGAAAATGCTGCTGCACAGGCAGCCCCTGGGTTCTTTCCCCTCCTGTTGGTCTTGCAGTTCACGAGGCACCCACACACACACACACACACACACACAATACACTGTGTACATGGAGCACATACGGTGTAAGCACAGAGGGAAGCCACAAGGGAATGGTGTCATATGTGGTCCATGCATGTCTGCACGGAAACATTCGGCACACGCAGGCCTCTGGTGCAGGGCAAGTGGTGGGTTCAGAGGCGGCTTGTTCCCAAAAGAACAACCTGGTGCAGCAGTTGGGAAAAGCTTAGGGGAAAATAAGTACCATCCTAAACTCCCCAGCCATGAGGACGAACTGTCTGCATTTGAGGATTAGCAACAAGCCCTGCAGGTTGGGCAGGCAATGCTTCGTTTTAGGAGGGGGTGGGAGCATGTTTCCCTACAGAAGTGAAGGACCATCCCACCCTCCACCCCCCGCCAGCCTGTCTAAACGTTGCCTCATTCAGGGTAAAGAGCCGGTGTGGTGCAGCCGTTCAGAACAGGGCTCAGTCAAGCCGCTCGCTCGGCTTGTTGTCTGGACCACGGTTTGCTGCTGAGACGTCAGTCATCTTGTGGACTGAACGAAGCCAAGTGACTATTCATGGTTTGGTAGCCAGAAGAACAGGCCATTCACAACGCAACCACAAACCGTGGGTTCTCCTCGGTGCTGGACTGGGGGACCTGGGATCTAGTCCCCCCTTGGCCAAGGTGTTCAATGGATGACTTCAGACCAGTCGCTACCTCTCGGCCTAACCTCCCTTGCAGGGCTGTTGGGAGGATAAAACTGAGAGGGGGAGACAGGGCATCGTGTTAGCGTCTCCGGAAAGGGTGGGAATAGATGCAACAGATATAAAGTGAACGCACTGGAGAAACAGCTGCCCCTCGCCCCACACGCACCGCTGGCGTGGGGGGTGGGGAGCTCCAGCCTGGCAGGGCCTGGGGGAGGCCATCGCGCCGTGTCGCCCCTTCCCGGGCCTGTGCAATGCCGCGTGACGGGGAAAGGCCTTTCCCTCCCAAGGCCCGAGCGGGCGGCTGTGCGGTGCACCACACTGAGCTGCATGGAGCACCTTGCATGCAGCTCCCCCCCCCGCCCGCCCCGGGCATCCACAGCCTCCTGGCCGCCCGAGGGGGTGGCCCCGGCTCAGGGGCGGCGGCGCCCGCAGGAGGGACCAGGCGGGGCCCGGGGGGAGCTTGGCGTGGGAGGGGGGCGCGCAAGGGCCCTGCTCTGCCCCCGGGGGCCGGTTCGGGTGGAAGCAGCCTGCGAGCTCGTTGCCCAGCACCCGGCCACTCCGGACAGCCTGCGCGGACCTGTTGCTCGGCAGGCGGGGGCGCGAAGCTCCCCCCTCCCCGGCCGCGGCCCCATCCCCATCCCTTCCGCGGCTGCCAATCCCATCAGCCAAGGCTCCAGGACCCTCACTCCACGCCGCTCTCCGGTGGCTTTGGTGAATCGGTAGCTTGACGGAGGGGAGGAAGGCGAGGCGGCGAGGCGGGGGGGGGGGGGGGGGGGGGGA